GGGGGGGGGGGGGCGCTTGCAGGGCCAAGCCGCGGGGAGCAGGCTGCTCCGCCCCGGCTTGGAACCCCTATCAGCTGAGCTGGTGTGGGAAGGGCTTTGCGCGGAGCTTGGCGTTAAAGGGACCGTCCCTCTCTTTCGGCTCCAGGGGGGGACCCTCTCCAGGCAGCTCTCCGGGGGGAGAACCCCAGAAGTGCAGGGAAGCAGCGGTGGGCAATGCAGTGTATAGGGCTAGCAGCCAGATTTCCCTTCCCCCCCTATTGCAGCATAGATCTGTGGGCTCTCGGGAGCAAGGAGGGGTTCAAATGGACCCTAAATCGGACTGTGGGACCCTTCTTCATGCTTGAACCGGAAGGGTCTGTGTCCATCGCCCCGTGAGCTCCGACCAGACTGGTACCAATGCAGGACGTAGCTTTGAAACCCTCACGGTCCGGACTCCTTGGATCTAGGGATGGTAAATTTCGATTCATCAGCTGATCGATCGACTATTCGGTTAGTCGATAAGGGCGCCACCGCCTTTGAAGTGTAGCAGCAGCAGCTGTTGCTACTCTTCAAAAGCGAAAGCGCTGCAGGGAGCATGGGGTCAGCTGGGGACTCGGAATCCTCCGCTGACCCTGGGCTGCATGTGGCGTTTCAAAGCGGCAGCGCCACATGGAGCCCAGGGTCTGGCCTCACGGTCCAAGCAGTGCAGCCACTTCGAAGCACCACTCCTCTTCCCCCCTCTTGCTGCCTCTTTCTGATGGGGGTGGGGAGGGAAGCGACCAGTCGACTCGTGTGTCAACTATCCGATAAGCATTTGCTTATCGGATAGTCGACTAGTCTGTTCACATCACTACCTGGGTGGCTGCTGCAAGTGACACATCCTTCCTCCGAGGTGCCAGTCACTGCGCCCAGTGCTGGAGCAAGACAGGCCTTCCGCTGATGTGGGAGGGTGGCAAGGGAAGGCAGATAATAATAAGTTGGGGGGTACTAATGCTTGGATGCCAATGAGCCCAGATTCCAGATCTCTATTCCATCCCCTTCCCATAATATAAGAACTAGGGGTCACCAAATGAAATGAACAGGCAGCAGGTTTAAAACAAACCAAAGGAAGTTTTTCTTCACGCAGCACACAGCCAACCTGTGGAACTCCTTGCTGGAGGATGTTGTGAGGACCGGGACTTTAACAGGTTTCAAAAAAAGAGCTAGATAAATTCATGGAGGTTAGGCTCATCAATAGCTATTAGCCAGGATGGATAAGGATGCCTCTGTTTGTTAGAAGCTGGGAATAGATGACAGGAGAGGGATCACATGATGATTCCCTGTTCTATTCACTCCCTCTGGGGCACCTGGCACTGGCCACTGTCAGAGGACAGGATACTGGGCGAGATGGACCTTTGGTCTGACCCAGTCAGGCTGTTCTGATGTATATTCTTATGTTCATAGCAATACAGGGGCACAGGGCAGAAAGTAATTCCTGCCATTCCTCTCTGTCAGTTGCTTCTGTTTCCAGCTCCTCGGTGGTGTTCAGATCAATTGTTCTGCCCTCCCTGCTAAGGGGTCGTCTTACGGCTTCTTTTGGGTGCCCTCATTTCTTCACTCCAGTTCATTAACAGCATCCTGGGGGAGTCTGCGTTGGTTTCCAGAGCATGCCCCATATGTGCCCACTGCGTCCTCCTGATGCTAGAGGAGTTGAGCAGCGGATTGGCAATTTCTTGGATCGCTTCGTTAGTAAGTAAGTTTTCCCGTCCAATGCCCAAGAGATTTCATAGGCTCTTATTTTTGAACATGTCTGGTTTTCTGGCTACCATTTTGGTAGCTCTTCCACACTCACAGCTGGATGTTAGCTTGGAGGCTACGTGGGAGTTAAAAATCTCTTTACTAATCGCTAATTAAAATCTCCAGTGAAAATCCCTTCTCTCCCCCCTCTATCGTAATCCCTGTATGTTCTTTCTGGGGAATTGCAAAAATGGTGTGGTGCTGTTCTTTCTTTCCTGGATTACAGAGCTTTGCTTACCTATCAAGTGAAGGTAGGTCAGGGCAAATTCCTTCTCCAGCATTTTGCTTCTTTGATCATCTTACTGGATTCTCACAGCTGCATCTCATGCCTCCAATGTGAAACATGCAGGGACCTCACTCCTCAGAAACAACCCCCCTTTCTCTCTCTAACAACCAGCATGGCGGGAATTGCAAATAAGTACCTATGTGATTGCCCAGACAGTGAACCCCATGCAGATCATCCCAGCCTCTGGGAAAATCCACTGAGGGGTGGATCCTGGGTGGAATCAGAATCCTGCAAGACAGTAGCTCTTGAGCAGGGGAGGGCAAAAGGGCCTCAGTGGGCCGGATCCTGGCTCATAGCTATTATGATTTTATCTAGCTTTTTTTTTAACTGTGGCCTTCACAACATCCTGTGGCAAGGAGTTCCACAGGTTGACTGTTGTATGAAGAAATATTCCCTTTTGTTTATATTAAATCTGCTATCTATCAATTTCATTTGGTGACCCCTAGTTCTTGTGTTATGGAAGTAAGTAAATAACTTTTCCTTATTTGCTTTCTCCACACCAGATTCTATCATATCCCCCCTTAGTCTCCTCTTTTCTAAAATGAAAAATCTCAGTCTTATTAATCTCTCCTCATATGGCAGCCAATCTGTATCCCTAATCATTGTTGTTGCCCTTTTCCGAATTTTTTCCAATGCCAAGATACCTTTCTTAAGATGAGGGAAACACATCTGCATGCAGTATTTAAGATGTGGGCATACCATGGATTTATATAGGAGCAATAAGTCTCTGTCTTATTCTCTATCCATTTTTAATTATTCCTAACATTCTGTTTGCTTTTTAGACTGCTGCGGCACATTGAGTGGATATTTTCAAAGAACTATCCACAATGATTCCAAGACCTCTCTCTCTCTTGAGTGGTAATAGCTAATTTAGTCCCCATTGTAAAATTTGTACATATAGTTGGGATTATTTTTTCCAATATGCATTGCTTTGCATTTATCAACATTTAACTTCATCTGCTATTTTGTTGCCCAATCACCTAGTTTTGTAAGATCCTTTTGAAGCTCTTAACAGTCTGCTTTGGTCTTGACTATCTTGAACAGTTTTGTATCATTTGCAGTTTTTGCCACCTTACTGTTAAACAGTTTCTCTAGATCATTTATGAATATGTTGAATAGGATTGGTCCTAGTATGGACAACTGGGGGACACTACTAGTTACCTCTCTCCATTTTGAAACTGACTCTTTATTCCTACCCTTTGTTTCTTATCTTTTAACCAGTTATCAGTCCATGAGAGGACCTTCCTTTTTATCCCATGACAACTTACGTTGCTTAAGAGGCTTAGGTGAGGGACCTTGTCAAAGACTTTCTGGAAATCTAAGTACACTATATCCACTGGATCCCCCTTGTCCACATGCTTGTTGACTCCCTCAAAGAATTCTAGTAAATTGATGAGGCATGATTTCCCTTTACAGAAATCATGTCGACTTTTCCTCAACCAATTATGTTCATCCATCTGTCTGACACTTCTGTTCTTTACTCTAGTTTCAACCAATTTGCCTGGTACAACATTGCTTAGTTCATATACCGTATGTGACCAGTGTTCCCTCTAATTTTTTTCCATATATGTGCAGAACAAATTTTGTTATGTGTACTGTGGCATGTGCAGGTGTGCACCATCAATAGAAACATATACTGCCTGCTGTGGGTGGCATTTGAATCTCTCCTGGGTGGTTGCCCAAGGGCTCAGTTTACCCCAACCCTCTGCCCCATCGTGGGGAAAGTGAGTGAGGATGGGCAAGAAAGGGAGGATGAAGTGAGCAGGGGCAGGGCCAGTGAATACTGGATGTGATTCATGGTGACCCTGGGCATATGGCTGCCATTAAGCCACCCTGAGGTGAGCCATATCAGCTGCTTTCTTCAGACTGAAAGTGTCTTGACCTTGTCAAGCCAGTCAGGTCAGAGCAATGGAGAGTGTGGTCAAACAGGCAACATTGTGTGGTGCGCTGCTACCTACTTGCCTCTGTGTACCATGCTGGTGAAAGCCACCAGTACCCCAGTGATAGGGTTGCCAGGTGTCCAGTATTCAACCCAACAGTCTGGTTTTTGGGCCCTCTGTCCGGTAAAAAATTCAGAAAATACCAGACATGTGCAGTGTCTGATATTTTCTGGGTTTCCGGCTGGGCACCCGACGGAAGCCTGGCGGGGGTGGGAAGAGTGGCAGGGAGGCGGGGCGCGATCGGCGCTGGGAGCCTCTGGTTGCGTCTGATGTCGGCATGATGCCTTGGGGAGGAGGAGAAGCCCCGTCCGTGCCCCTGAGCGCTGTTCAAGCGCGTTGTGGAGCCATAGCCGGACTCGCTCGTCTTTCGCCGGGACCGTGCGTGGGACGGGCAGCACCCTGGGATCTGCATGTGCCCGGGTCAGTCCCACTCCCCGCCGGCTGATTCTCTCCCTCTCCCCCCTCCCCGCAACCCCCTTCTGGCCAGCCCTGTTTCCTGCCAGCCAGTTCTCCTCCTCCCGATCTCCCCCAACACCCTGCCCCAATCTTCCCCAGCCAGCCCTGCTGCCCCCGACTTCCCTCCCCCGCCCGTCTCCTCTTCCCAGACAGCCCTGCTCCGCTCCCGGCTGGTCCCTTCCTTCCCTCCTCCTCCCCCCCGCCCTGATTGAAGTGTGTCCAATATTTTTTCTGAAGCTACCTGGTATCCCTACCCAG